TTGAAAAATGTTAATGTATTATAAAGAATGTAGTAGCAGATTGTTTAATAAGATGCTTGGAGATAGTAAGGATTGCAGAAGCTGGAAGCCAGAGTCAAAAGATGTGAAGCTTTTCCAGCTTCACATCTATTGGCTGTTCAATAAGATGTAACAGCAGAGCACATCTAGACAACTTCCAATTCTCACCTCTATCCCTGAGAAACAAGTCAGCTCCCAATATGAAGGTCAAAGTGTTACCTGGTGGCAGCAGCTCACTGCTTGCTTCTCCTAGCCTATTAGAGGGCATTCCTGGCTTTGTAGGCCTGATATGTGGACACTTGCAATTGTCGGCTGCAGCAAAGGGACTCCTGGCTGCAGGAGGCCCAGAGCATGGACCCTTTCAGCAGCAGCAAGCCTTTGACTGCAGCGGTGTTAGTGCCCAGAGCATCGACTCCTGGCCGTGATAGGCCTGGACCGGAGACCTTGCAGAAGTCCTGGAGCCATGTTTGGGACCCTGGCTGATGAAGATGAACTCTATTTAAGTACTTTCTTTTTATTCTTTTGTACTTTAAAATAGCACCGGATTGTGGTGACAGAACACTTTTCACTGTATCTCCCTAGATATTAGCGACAATAAATCATTCATTCATTCATTCAATCATTCATACAACTCCTCTGTCACCACCAATTTGCTGCATGCTCCATGGACACTGTCCTCTTTCATCCCTCATTCACACAAGTGGACATCACCAAACAAACAGCCTCGCCCCATTATCAAGGCTGCTTTTGGACTAACTCCCGCACCACTTCAGCCTTTGGGGACTTCACTTTGCAGCTCAGTGATATGAGACTTGCATACCTGTGCCAGGTTGCGTGCGTGAAGGGCCACACACACATCTCATGTATCTCCCAAGAATGCATCTTGTGCCTTTTATTTTTCTTTCTTTGTGCTCATTCATTTTGCAAGGACTTAGAGCCTGCCAGCCTTTGTGGCTTTCATTGCTTTTTAGCACATTAGTTCTTCCTTCCTAATTTACAAGCCTTCAGTTTCTGTTACTTGTATTGCTGTTTAGAACAGAGGGAGAGGCAGGCAGCTTATTGCTGTTGAGAGCACTTAGTAATGAAGTGTTGCTGTATAGAACTGTGTTACATCAATACCAAACTAATTCCGTGTGCTTACACAGCAAACATACTTCATTTGCCACAAGCAAATGGCTATATCTGAAGGTTAAACAGGACCAGTCCTCAGTGGGGCGAAAAGGCACTATGGTTGGTCAGGGGCTTGTCTCATCCAGTCTCAGTCCAGGGGTTTGGCCATGTTCAGTCAGGCTTTTGATTTGACCAGAGTCTGGAAATCAATATCCTTATAGTCCAAGGCTTAGGCCATGGTCAGTTCTGAATTTCAAGAGCAACTAGTCCATGGATCACAGGTACATCAGTCAGAGTGCTATGAAAATTCTGGTCCAGGTGTTGGGCTTGCTTAGTTGGGCTGTCCTCTGAAATATATCTGGGGGTGGAACAGAGTTGGAATTGTGAGTTTGGGTATTAATAGTTAGGGGGCTTATCCAGCAACAATGTGTGGAGTCCTGGGTAAAGGGAAGCTTAGGTCTAAGGTTGGAGTTCATTGAACTGAATTGCTAAGGGATTAATCATAGTGATAGGGGCATAAAGATGGAAGGGTGGGATCTCATGGAGCATAGGAGGGGATAGGAAGCTGAGGGAGGAGATTTCTCACAAGGTACAATCACTCTAGTCACAACATGAGCGGAGTGTATAGTCAACAAGGGCATGAAAATTCACAAAACCATGGGCTTAGAGGGTAAACGTAAGATATTAACAGTTCTATAAAGGGGCTTAGCAGAAAGGCCATTGGGGAAGGCTGAAAGGGGACACAGGAACAGCAACACAACATGGAATATGAAGGATGGGGCCATCACCCTTGTCTCAGGTGGAACCTGAAACTCTCACGTGAAGACACAAAGTTTAAAGCTTGCCGTCTTTGTACCAAACTCGACTGCTGAGTAAAGAGATAACATGGCTGCCACCAGTGCAGAGCGGACAGAGTAAATTACCATTTTTATCTTCAAGGACAGAATGTGATTGCTTGCACATGAGACCCTGCAAAGGGCAATTGCATTAATCATGAAACAAAAACAGAAATAGCTGGAGAAACCCAGCAGGTCTGGCAGCATATGTGGAGAGAAAGTAGAGTCAACATTTCAGGTCCAGTGGCCCTTCTTCAGAACTACTTAAATAGGGAGGCATGATGACACAGTGGTTAGTGCTCCTGCCTCACAGCACCAGGGTCCCAGGTTTAGAACATTGAACATAGAACAGTACAGCACAGTATAGGTCCTTCAGCCCACGATGTTGTGCCAACCTATTATCCTACTCTAAGATCAAACTACCCTGCATATCCTACATTTTACTATTGTCCATGTGCCTATCCAAGAGTTGCTTAAATGTCCCTAATGTATCTGACTCTACTACCACCGCTGGCAGCACATACCACGCACCCACCACTCTCTGTGTGAAGAATCTACCTCTGACATCTCCCCTATACCTTCCTCCAATCGCCTTAAAATTATGCCCCCCATAATAGTCATTTCCACCCTGGGAAAAAGTCTCTGGCTATCCACTCTATCTATGCCTCTCATCATCTTGTACCCCTCTATCAAGTCACATCTCATCCTTCTTCTCTCCAATGAGAAAAGCCCTACCTCCCCCAACCTTTCCTCATAAGACCTGCCCTCCAGTCAGTAGGCAGCATCCTGGTAAATCTCCTCTGCATCCTCTCTAAATCGTCCTCCTTTCCTATAATGAGGTGACCAGAACTGAACATAATATTCCAAGTGTGGTCTAACCAGGGTTTTATAGAGCTGCAGCATAACCTCGCAGGTCTTATACTCAGTTCCCCTGCCAATGAAAGCCAACACACCATACGCCTTCTTAACAACCCTATCAACTTGGTTGGTAACTTGGGAGGATCTATGGACGTGGACCCCAAGATCCCGCTGCTTTTCCAAGTACTGCCAAGTATCCTGCCATTAACCCTGTATTCTGCATTCAAATTCAACTTTCCAAAATGAATCACTTCATACTTTTCCAGGTTGAATTCCATCTGCCACTTCTTTGCCCAGCTCTGCATCCTGTCAATGTCCCGTTGCAACTTACAACAGCCTTCCACACAATCCACAACTCCACCAACCTTCGTGTCATCAGCAAACTTACTAACCCACTCTTCCACTTCCTCATCAAGTCATTTACAAAGATCACAAAAAGCAGAGGTCCCAGAACAGATCCCTGCAGCACACCACTGGTCACCGAGCTCCAGGCTGAATACTTTCCAACTACTACCACCCTCTGTCTGCTATTGGGCAGTTTAATTCTCCCCATGTCTGTGTGGGTTTCCTCTGGATGATTCAGTTTCTTCCCATAGTCCGAGGATGTGCAGGTTAGGTTGATTAGTCATGCTAAATTGGCCGTAGTGTCCAGGGATGTGAATGCTAGGTGGATTAGCCATGAGAAATGTGGAGTTATAGGGTTGGGGTAAGAAGGTGGGTCTGGATGGGATGCTCTTCAGAGGGTTGGTGTGGACTTGATGGGCTGAGTGGCCTGCTTCCACACCATAGAGATTCTATTTAGATAATAGTTCCCTACTCTACAGTCTGTGCTGTTCAAGGATAGGTTTGTTTGGAAGGGAGTGCTATTATTGTGGATAAGTACCTGAATTTCACTTGCTCAGATAGCATTTTGGATCTGCAAAATACAATTGGATGACATTACATATCTCAGAGCTCCAGACTGAGGCACGACATTGGCTTCCTTGCCCTGTGTCACAGCATAATGTCCCTTCATTGTGATTGACGTGAGGAATCAGGAGTACCGTTACTGATATGCTATTCTACTTCTGACATTCCCTACGATTAGTGGCTCACACGCTTGAAATAGAACCCATGTTGGAAGCTGAGATAGTAGGAACTGCCGATGCTGGAGAATCTGAGATAAC